GTTTTACGACTTATACCCATACACTTTTGTTTTAACGTCCTCCTTAACTGGAACGTTGTAAAGTTTACGATCACGGTTTTTATTGCGCGAGTCGTAGCGTATAAACCGCCTTCAATACTTTAAAAGGTTTCTTCTCGAATGCGTCGTCCGGTTCGATGTTGGCCGCGACTGTACTCCGTATCAATTAAAAAGTCTGATTAAGTCATAAATTTTATGTAAAATTGATTGCTTTCTATAGTTTCTTTCTCTTTCTCACCCGCTATTGCTGTTGAGCTGATTTGCTTTGAATTTCATTGGCCCGACTACGAATCTGTATGATCACTCTGTATGTAATTTTTATCGCATGGATTTCATAAATAAAAATTTAATAAAAATAATAAATTAATTTATCAAAGGTTCAAATGCATTGCGAGTCTTTTTCACAACAGCAGCAGTACACAGAAGCAGTAACGCGTTTCACCTGTTCCGTTATGAAGTTATCTTCGACGCGAATAATTGTGGTAATTCTAGCAAAGTAACGTGGTAGTTTTGAATAATACATAGTATATTTGTAACGCGAAAGAGAAGAATACGTAAAAATGTTGCAATACACCGCTAGAGAGATCTAAAAGTCAGCTATAGTGGCCGAGACGTGGGATTGCGATCTCAAGGTACAACAATCAGTAATTATTCCGATTTTTGGTGTAGTAAGATTGTATAGCCTATTTTGTATCATTTTCTATGGTTTAGCGACAAGGCTTCTCAACCTAAATCTTTCACTAAAAAGATTAACAAGTATGAGGAAACAGTCAATATGACTTTACCATGTATGTTAGGGTTCTAAAGCCGTGAAATCTTGTTTGTGTTGTTTGCTATATTTATTGAATATTACCATTAATAGACCACATTAAGAGTAATGGTAAAAGTAATTATGTTTAATTTTCGAGTTTGAAATGTTTAAAGGTTCTGACTAATGCGATAAGATTAGATCGGCTGCTATTTGTTGGTTTTGCTTGTACCGAATGCGACAAAGCCATCGCCTAAATGTAAGTCAACACACTTTACTAATTTTTACGTCTTGATTTAGCTCCTATACAATAACTGTGTGTAATCAAAACAGACTGTAGATACCGTGCACGCGGGAAAGTAAACTACTCTTAACAGCTGTTTTGTTTTGCTTTCGTCCAACCTTCTTAATTTTGTGTACACAACTAATTGACTCCGTAAATCGATCCAGAAACGGACCCGTCTTGTGCTGTTACTAAAAGCAAGGCTTTTACGTAGTGCGATTCGTCGCCACGAATATCGTATTTGATGCCTTCTTCGCTCTTATGTCAACAGATAATTATGAATACTACTAATAGTCTACTACAGATGAGTATGCCTTTATGAAACTTGTATCATCCGAAAGTAAAGCGACAACAATAATTTATAAAATTGATTTTATCAATATATAGTAATAAACAATGCTGTCTGTCTGTCCCTATGTATGCTTAGATCTTTGAAACTATGCAACAGATCATAATGCGTTTTTTCTTACTAGATAGAGTGATTCAAGGTTGATATGTATAATACATTGCACCCGTGCGAAGCCGGGGTGGGTTGCTAGACTTATAATAAACATATCAATCCATTTCTCAGAGTAGCCTTATTTTCCCATTTCATTATATTTTATTTGTTGGTACCTGCAAACTCCAGCGCTAAACTTCGTTCAAGTTAAACAGTTCATGTTTTTATTGTTATTGAAGTCCGGTTACGTTAAGCACGCTACATATCAATATTACCTCTAAAAAGTGCCATGAAAGTGCACCTGACATGGACGCGATGCGCGCCTTTTTATAGAAACGTCTATTTTTAATTATGGCGGCTCCGCATTGACAACTGTTTCTACTTTCTTGTAGGTTATATGGAGATTTCTGGTGTCCGGTACCGCCACGTTTTTTATGTGAGAAAGTGGCAAACGAGCTGGCGGTTAATCTGATGTTAAGTGATAACCGCCTGCCCATGGACATTTGCCACACCCGTAGGGTTGCAGATGCGTTGCCACCTGTTAATAAAATGGGCCCCGGCTACCTCACTCACCAGACGAAACAGAAATGCAACACGTCTACTTCACGCTGGTCTTTTGTGAGGTCGCGGTACTAACCCGGACGGACCTGCCCATTCGTGCAACAGCGTGAACACTGATGCGTGGCCTTGCCACGGTTTCTACCTACCACTTTCAGGTTTTTAATTGATTACTTGTGTAATGAAATGGGTAAAAGTTTGTTTTACTGTTATTTTGGTAGTTAAACATTGTTTACCAGTATAAAACCAAATGGAATACTATTGGTTGACCACAGCCTTTCAAAACTCAGAACTGAATATTTTATACTGTAGGTAAATGTAATAACAATATCTAATACAATTAAATTTCTATCGATTTAAAACCACTAACGTTATGATGATATACATAGAGTAGGTAGAGAAAAAAATAAAAATACTTCTGGCCAAAGACCTATATTATATCGTCCTTGTTGAGTATATACTTTATCCATGTCAATTGGCTGTTAGAAAGAAACCTTAATGATTAAATAGCAGAGAAAAAACATAAAATTATATATTTATCTTTTAAATACTTATTTAATACTACAACTATAATTATTCATACATAATTATATAGTCGTGCCATCTGTGGACAAGTAGAAACATTTTGCACTAGTTTTGTAGTGCCATCTAGCGTTAAAAAGCAGAACGGAAATATCCGTATTATTTAATTATTGTTGTTTCTTCATTTTTATCGTAGATGGCTCTTTTCTATTAATAATAATAATAATGGGTCGCTTTCTGAAAAATCTTTCTTTATTATAAGAATATTTAAATTCAACTTTAAGAGTACTATAATAATAGAATATAATTAATATAAGAAAAATATCTTATCATTACATGTAATGTAACTTTGCATATATGGATTGAACATAATATTTATTTTGAAGCCTAGAAATACGTTCCATAATGATAATTTATAAGTTGTTTAAAATTTTTAAAGTTAATATACATTAATACTAATACTAAAGTGGTGCTTATTTTGGAAACAGCTATACAAGCTGCGGTGTCCGAGTGGTTAAGGAGATGGACTTGAAATCCATTGGGTTCTACCCGCACAGGTTCGAATCCTGTCCGCAGCGACTACTTTTTTTAAAAAAGTATTCAAGCGGTTTATAACAAACAGATTTTTTTTATAAAAAAACATCATTCTATTTCGTTTTAATTACACAATTTTGTATACAGAAAAGATTTACAAATTATTTGTAGTATTACTAATAGTTTTAAAAATCAAAAAGGCTTTTAATGTAATGCTTATAAAAAGTTATACAAGAAAGATGATAATTATTATAAAATTAGAAAAAGTATATAATAATAAAATTAATTATATATAATAATAAAATTAATGTAAATATTTGAAACACTTTTGTAACATAATAAAGAAAATTATTTTCATAAATGTTTTTGCAAAAAGATTCCTTCGAGCCGGATTTGAACCAGCGACCTATGGATGTCAGTTTAAGAATCTCATCTACAGTCCACCGCTCTACCAACTGAGCTATCGAAGGTCTTGTGATAATGGTCGAAATTACGGTAGCTATATAAACACTTTACCACTATTTATAATTTTATATATTTTTGCAGTTCCTTTATCATTTCATATAAATGTGATGAAGAATTTTGTATGAATGAAAAATTTAATCATCGTTAGTCAAAAACTACCTCATTGTTTGTATAGATTTATGTATTTTCATTAAAAAAAAAACGTATTACATAAATAAATGTCAGACTTTTAATTTACGAAAATTGGTTTTCTTTGGTTCTTCTTTGATATAACCTATTTTCAAACGCCAACGCTCAGTTCTAAATTCCCTGTAGAAAATGAAAGAATGCTAGCAGGGCAAATAATAAAATCGCTTCAGATAACCCATAACTCGGCCGTTTCCTACTGAACAAATAACTTTGCTTCTATGATAGTCGTTAGTAGTTAAATCATAGCATTATGAGAGCATAACGTGTGTATTAGATATATTAAAAGTTACGAGGTGACCGCAAATGTACAAATTATGTATTTATTATTTTGAGTAGAATAATATTTAGTTGCTTATGAAAGTTCGCTCGCAAATTGGGTATCGGGGGCATAGACAGCTCTTGTGATTTTCACCGAATTTATTAAATCAACGGAGATAGAATGATTTATGTTGCATAACTAAATCGCAACATAAATAATTCTATAGATGCAATCATACGATGTAGATTCAACGATGTGGTGCTGACCCTAATGAAACGGGGCCGCGCGGTGGACTATGCCCGAACGACCTCTGTACAAAGGAGGCCTTCGCCCAGCAGTGGGACATGTACAGGCTGTTACTTTTATTTAAGTGGGACATAAGGCAATTTAAGATAATTATAAATTTAAGAGGGATTTGAACAATTTCCGTCCGTTCGTACAGGAGTTATATCGCGTTGGAATTCGAACTCGGCATAGCGACGGCGCGAGTTCAATGACCCGTGTATATGCAAACATTCTCGCCGAAAATACCACCTTTACTACGACCGATACTAGAAACGAATTCACATTGATACTGTAACGGCCGACCTGGTGATTTTCGCGAGAAGTACGAACCCTTTTGTTTACCCCGACCTCGCTAGTAAACGACGTCAATTTGTTAGGTTTTATTGAGAAATATAGAGGCTTTTGTACACTCACCGCATCAGTGAGAGATGTCATTTTTAACCGACTTCAAAAGAAGGAGGTTCTCAATTAGACTGTTTATTTTTTTTATGTTTGTTACCTCAGAACTTTTGGCTGAGGGAACCGATTTTGATGATTCTTTTATGGTATGAAAGCTGGTGCTTCCGATGTGATCCCATATTAATTTCACTGGTATTGGATCTTGGGCTAAGGAGATACTCAGGGAACTCCTGAAAATCAATTATAAAATGAACACTGAGCGAGATATTCGAAGACGGTTTTGTTTTTCGTTAGTAAAGAAATGGTAACGTTAGGTTTTATTTTACTTACTGACGGATCGCGTTGCTATTCTCCGATTGCACTGGCAGGTAGCCTGGTCGGCGCAACACGTGAGCCATATCGTTACTGGTGGTGGATAGGGATTTTTTTTACGACCATCCGCCTCTACATTCTGATTTGAGTGTTTATCCCAAAGGAACTTTGGTCCTTGGGAGCGAATACTCAAATGAAAAATTATTTTTGTCATTGTAGGGCTACACAACAACGAATACTATTGCCTGGCTCTACCGCAATTGTGGTATATGAACATTAACCATTCCAAACTCAAAATAATCTCTGGTGTTAGCTATACTTTGTTTTATCGAGCTAAGAAGGTAGAATATAAATACTTTTACCAAATCACCGTAGTTTCACGTTTGCACAACAATAACACTGGTATAATTACTTATTTTATCACTTTAATATAAGTAATGAAACACCACTCTAACGATTTAATTTATGATACCAATTGGGCAGCACTGTCGTGTATACTTCTGGTTTGACAGCCAAAGAAGAAGACGAAGACGACGAAGACCACGAAATGCTTCTTGCAGCTTCATTTATACCCCACAGAATGACACTTTTTTTAGTATTGCCAACAACCTCAAGGAATTTAACCTTTAGTGTTATCAACACGGCCCTCCTGCACTGTGCATGTCCCAAGCACAATGCAAAACCAGTCGCCGGGAAGAAACATGACAGAAATAACTGAAAACAACATCTTGTTTTTAAATATCTGTGTTATACAGTACTGCTCGGCCATTCCTTTCCTTAAATCCTTTCCAGAAATTCCACTACGTTGAATTCTATACGATTCCTTTAGTCTTATAATACTTCAAATTATTCTAATTGTCTAATGGAAAACGTTTATTCGAGAAAACCCAAAGGAAACTGTTCATTACTCGTCTGTAACACAAACTACTCTAGCCATAAACTGCCCCGCAAAAATAAAAAGCTCTATTGAATAGATTGTACCAGATAACACTAAACATTGTCTTTAGGCTTAGATAACGTTTAACGAGACTCATCACTCCCTTAATCCGGAATAGCGCCTGTTCCAGTTCACACCTTTAGTCTTAGGTAGAGACTGCTTCAGCTCACTACTCCGATTATGGCGAGTAATACTGTCACCCATAGGTTATCCACTAGCTGATCTTATAATGTTATTAAGACAACAGTTAACATGGGCTTATAAAATTAACTAAAATATTACCTTGCCAACACGCTTCAATTATAAACTATAACCTAGATAACATCCCAGTTATCAATATTAATCCACAGTTTCATGTATTTCCATACCAAACCTTAGCTGACCCTTTAAGTTTATTCAAAGTCTGGTAACGTATCGTACTATGATTCCACGAAAACTTTAATGCATAAGATTCTATTACGTCAATCTATTTTTTTTTTCATTACTATACACAAGTAGGGCGCGAATACTAATTAGACACAAGAGTTACATCCCGCTTCTGATGTTAACTATACTTTGTTTTATCGAGCTAAGAAGGTAGAATATAAATACTTTTACCAAATCACCGTAGTTTCACTTTGCACAACAATAGCACTGGTATAATTACTTATTTTATCAGTTTAATATAACTAATGAAACACCACTCTAATGTTAGGGACATCTGACCTCCGAGCAACTACGTCATATTTACACTTTTAATATTAAGTAAATGGATATATCGTATATTATTAAGGAAAAAAATAAAATCTAATTAAGATCGTTCAGATTACGTTCATTATTTACATCGTTATGTTATTTACGCATTTGTTGTTTTAAAAAAAACAGTGAAATCATTGTTAGAGTCGCTCTTAGCAGCTCCTTACGTAATCTGATATGCTGACCTTTTGAAAAAAAAAAACCGACACTTCAATTGCAACCCAAGCTAGGACCGAAACCTGGCGAATGACGTCATCAGCATCACGGCACAGCCGCTGAAGCCTCCGCTATTGTCAAACACATGTTTAATTACCAACGTGTGCAGTGCGGCACGCGCGTTCCCATACGCGAAACGGCGCAAATAGCCAGTCGTTTAAGACAACTGCGACCCTTATTGCTATAGAAATACGTGCTGGATTCGCGTTAACGGCGTAAGCGGTTGCGACTTCACGTTTCGGCGGAGGCGGCGCGGATTTCGGCCGGTCCTGGGGCGGACAGCGCACGCGCGCGTATCCCCCACATCGGCCGCTCAAAGTTAGGCGGCGCGCCGTCCAGCGCGCTCGCCTGAGACCGAGTCCGCGGGCGAAATCGGCAATCCACCTATTAGAGGATGCCTTCGGAACGCGAGGCCGGAACATACAAGCCCAAGCATTCCTCTGGGCGCGTTGTTTTGACGAGGTAAGTGGGCCTCGCGGTGACCGCCGCCCGCGCGGCCGGCTGTTTTGACGGTTAAGGTCGGCGCGGGTGCATTATGCGATTTCGCGGCGTTTTTGAAACGCGACAAAGGAGCGCTCGTTTTTGGGGTGATCCCGCCTGACGGTAAGGGAAGCAGACGGCGGGAACGGCGCGACCGTCGCGAAATTTCGGAATGACGAAACGGTTTCAGTTTGAACAATAACGACATCGTGTCGGAAGAGAATTTGAGTGTCGCTTCCTTGAAATAATATGGATGTCGATTCATATGTTTTAATAGACAAACTATTGTTTATGACAGTTATTATTGAATTTGCGTTTTCTAATATGAAACTACGAGAATCGTTTGAGAACGCATGCAAAGGCTGAGTAATATATCAAATTTTTTGCAATGCATAGGTAGGTAATTAGAAGTCATATGGTTATAAAAAAATTACAACATCATTTTTGTTCATTAAATTCTAGACAGATAATACTCAACAAAGAGAAAGTAATTTATAACAGTGTTCGCTGTTGCACGAATGTTCAGGTCCGCCCGAGTTAGTACCATGACTTCTCAGAAGACCAGCGTGAAGTAAAAGTATTACACTTCTGCGTTTCGTCTGGTGAGTGAGGTAGCCGGGGCCCACTTAATTAAAAGGTGGCAACGCATCTGTAACCCTACGGGTGTTGCCAATGTCGGGTTATCGCCTAAAATCAGTTGAACCGCCAATTCATTTGCCACTTTATCACATAAAAAAACTCATCTACAATAAGAAGCTTTAAACATTACAATTTTAAGTATTGAAATGTTATAGTGTTGTTTTCACATATTAAATTCTATTTTTATGTCTATCGCTAGTAACCAAATGTACAGATAGATACAGTCATATTGAAACCAGCCGATAGTTATTATACTGGCTGTTCAAGTTTCCGTGGCACTGTATGATGTTTTCGAATATATTATATCTTAAACAATATTCTACAGATATTTAAGTGTTGGCGAGTTTAAATAAAAACCTCGCAATACAAAATTGGCAAAAGTAATACTTACTCAAAATACATACTGTTTCGGTAAGGATATTAACAGTATTTAACTATGAAATATGAAAACACAAAGTTTTCGGCCAATAAAATGCTCGACCAATGTCATGAAGTTATATTTTCACATTATATGTTTCACTTGCAGTTTCAGTAAGGTCAACAGTGAGTTTCAGTTATTTCGCAAATAGCTTCCACAGTGTTTACTCACTCTGACTGAAGACGTAAGAACGCAAAATAGATCCCATGAGTATTTTTCATAAACATTACTAGCATAAATTTGAATGATACACGCATCATGAGGGGCCATATACGGTAGCTTCTATTGCGAAACGCTCTATATATCGCTACACTGACATTTTGGGTTAAAAAGGCAACGGTTCGGTTAAAAAGGTTAACATAAATGTCAAGGGGTCATGTAATTTAAAAAGTAATCTCTTAACCTTTCATTTCGACATTACCGTGGCGGTATGTTAAATATATCTCAATATATATAACCAGCCAATAGTTATTATACTGGCTGTTCAAGTTTCCGTGGCACTGTATGTTGTTTGCGAATATATTATATCTTAAACAATATTCTACAGATATTTACGTGTTGGCGAGTTTAAATAATAACCTCGCAATACAAAATTGGCAAAAGTAATACTTAATCAAAATACATACTGTTTCGGTAAGGATATTAACATTATTTAACTATGAAATATGAAAACAAAAAATGCTTATCATATTTCATTGGGCCGCGAAATTATTGGTAAAATGTTGAAAAATTCACTACACAACGTACTAAATATCAAAATTAAAGGTTTACATAAATTTTAGAATAATTTTAAGCGTTGCGGGATTCGAGCCTGCGTCGTTCAAGTAATGTTCCGTCAATTTTTCTACAGATTGCATACAAAATTTACATTTAAACCGGGCACGAGAATTCATATGTCTAATCATCTAATACTCTCGTAATGAAAAGATAGGACTTAAAGGTTATATTCGCAATCAACAACATTGAAACATTGATATTTAAGTTCATTAAGCGCAGCATAAGGTAAAATCACTATATCAGTACTTGTCGAATTGTCTGAAAATGTTCCCGATTTTACTCGCACGTATATAAAGGAGAAGATTGCGAGCTAGCCTGTCTGCAGATATAAAATATTATGAAGACACATGTAATCCGCCGAACCGAAACAGTGCCGTAAATTCGAGGAAACACGGGTTGTTTATGTACTTGTAGCTAGTCATATTGCTACGCCGTAGCAACAACTTATTTAGGCTCAATTTAAATAGGCGTGTGTAAGTAGTGTATATTTCTACAGCCGCTTATGGTATTTTAGCCGATTTACAGTTCACTCGAATTAGGAAATTGATTTTATTTCATTATCAAAGTATCGGACGATTTCCTGTTTGGCTCTTAGCTTATAGTTTTACTTTTAAAACTATGATCATAAAAGCTAAGCAGTCAACATTGTTCATACGGAATAAAATCCGCAATGAAATTTAATTAAATTATAGGATTACTTTATAATGGGTTAATAATAGCACGCAGCATTGAACTATGATTAGAAGATGTACTAACAAAACAAACAAAGATTTTTAAACGAAGACAAACGACATATGAACTGACGCTTCGCCTGATGTTAAATGATAATCGTCGCCCAGTTTTAAAGAGTGGAACTCAGTTGTCTCGCTCACGAGACGAAACGCCAGTCACAGAAGTCCATAATACTTTCTTCTTAATGAGCTTGCCCATTTGGTCAACAGCACCTGCTATAAGACTTAACAAAGTTTATGGACCAGGTCCCGTAAACGATCGGTATCTTCGCAAAAAAAGAAAAAACCGGCCTGTACCGTTCCATACCATTATCTGTAAAAACGGCAAAAAAAATATGTCTGCTGTATGGGAGCTCCCACTTAAAAAATTTTTTATTCTGCTTTTTAGTACTTGTTGTTATAGCGTCAACAGAAATACATAATCTGTGAAAATTTCAACTGTCTAACTATCACAGTTCATAAAATACGGCCTGGTGACAGACAGACAGACAGACAGTGGAATCTTAGTAATAGGGTCCCGTTTTAACCTTAGGGTACGGAACCCTAAAACGAAAGGTAGCGCCCTAATTACAGAACCTTTTCAACGCTACCAAAAAGTAAAGCATGATTTTATACCGAAATTTGAATTTCCAAAGCACACGAATACTCACGAAGGTAACACAGCGTGCATAAATCAAAGCCAGACCTTTTCGATAGCTCATCTACTTTTTCTGGAAACAGACAAAAAAGGAACAATAGTAGAAAAACAAACACCGGAGCACAAACAGAAAGTTGGGAAAGCGAAGCGGGTCGAAATTAAAAGCTCTATTTGGGAACAAGCCGCTGAATAAAAAAAATTTTTAAACATTCGCTTGAGGCCTCATCAATAATCCCTTTGCCTGGATTACTTTGCAATAATTACAAAATGTAATGAATACAATAATTATTTGAAATATAACTTTTTTTAATAAAAGTCTGATATCGTTAGTTTTATAGAGTTACAAATGTAGGCATTTCTTTGAAGTGGTGAGGAAAAATTATTAACAAAAAATATTTTTGATAATTATTTAATTCAATTGATTGAGATAGACCTTTATTATTAACTGTTAATGATTGAGAGAAAGTTGTCTTTTTAGGGCTTTTTAGTGCTTATAGTTTCGTCTTACATTTAGTACGGTCACTATATCTTATCCTTTAAACGAGCAATTCTTGTATATATATAATATATCGTGTATATATATATATATATAATCAGAATCTCGGAAACGGCTCCAGCGATTTTCATGAAATTTAGTATGTGCGTAGATTATAAAAATCGATCTAGCGGAAAGGTTTCATTTTTAGAAAATGTCCTTTTATCTCTGTTTTCAGGGAATGAAAAATATCATTCTAATATGACAGTAAATTTCGCCGCAAAAAAAAATATTATAATAGCCCGGTCGGTAATCGGGTGGCCCCAAAACAGACGGCCGCGGTTCGTTTTCGATTTCCGACACACTTATTTTTTTTTCTATACCAGATCATTTTCTTTATTTTTTATTTAGAACTCGACTCCTCTTCAAGTTCTGAAATCGAAACTTATGTCCTTTCTTTTCTCCTGGCTTTATCCCACCAATGTGGGTTCCGCATATTATGTCAATCATGATGTTAATCGTATTTGGCTTTGTTTGCATGACCAGCTGCCGCCTCTGATGTCAATTCCTCATAAACAATTATCCGTCGGTCATGCAAATAGTTGTTACGTGCAGTAATCGAACCCAGCATCGCAGCCAACCTTGAAAAGAGCGCCACGGAGTTATCAGTGGTTTACTTTAAATTTTTAAAATTTAGAGTCTATTTACATTTATAGAATCGTGACTATATTACCGGTAACTCTTCTGACCGCAAACAATTATTTTTAAGAATGTGCATTCTTCGTATGTTGTAATGTATCCTAAGTTACCAACATACGGCACTGTCATGTAGGTGCTAGAAAAGATTTATTATATAAATCTTTTCTAAAAGGTTTATTATATAAATCTTTTCTGCTTGATATAATACGTCGTTGCCCGCCCTGACGGCCAACAACGCCTACCCCCTTAAATGCGAAGTGTGACATATTTATCGTTGTTTTGTGACAGTTTACGTTTTTAAGATGTTTCATTTCTATCACGTATACGGTGCTGTACGCACAATGTTTTTATTAGTTGGTGAGATCTCTATCCCTTCAAATTTGTAAGGACGATTAAGTTGTAAATGAATCTAGTGAAGCATTTATAACCAACTTGGACATTTTATATTTGACGGTGCAATACATTAGTTATATTTTTAAAGTGACTTTAGCTTACGGCTGTAATCGGTTCGGATGATAAAGATCACAATAATAAATTTCTTAGTAAATAAATTCCGTTCAACATTCATTATTAACGTTGACGTGTAAACAAAACAAAATATAATTC